AAATTTAAGATAAGGGGTAGAATTGACGAATCAGATGCAAAGTTATAGCGAGCATAAAAAGGGTTCAGCGTGGGTGATTTTTTATTTTTCTGTAGATTGCGTTCTACATATTTACGGATGCGCCCTTTGACCTCAGTGTTCAGACTGACCATGAGAATTACATTTTCTTGTCACTATTCTTGTACTACTCAAAGCCTAGACCTTGGGGAGAGGAAGGGACACAGAAGCCATGTTGTGTGTCCCATTTCCCTTCCAGACACGTGATCTCCCTAAAATTTTGCGCTGTAATTGAGATCCTCATCACTAAATCAAACATGATCTTTTGCAATATTGCGGGAGGGTATGTTTTTCCTGACTTCCTTTACTCAATGAATCTAATTAGAGTGTAACGCGATCGAATCTACCAACCAGTCTGCGAGGCTTAAGGGCATACTAGGCTGGTAACTTCGCGGTAAGTATGTACCAGAAGTTGGTTGTTACCATCGACCTGTTCAGCTTTTACAAAGCATTATTTCTTGAACGTCGCTCAAAGGTGTTTCTGATGAACTTTTTCGAATAGCGTGAATCTCTGATGAAAATGCGTATCAGCGCGCACAACTAGTTTCGAGAAAAGGCAAGCACGATCTGTTCATCGCAGACAGATGAGAGCGTGAAGCAGAGAAAGCATTTTTGTCCGGTTCCAGAGACATTTTTTGTACCTGATACCATCTTCTGATGGATAGATAGTCAATATTATTATCAGCAGTAGGATTATTGATCTGTGGCTATTTGGCAGTCGATGACTTTGTCGCAGAGTGAGCAAGGGTGGCTGTCGAGGAAATTGAAAGGGTTGCCTTCGATGTGGTTGCAGTTGTTTAATTTTTCCAAGTCTAGCGTCATTTTGAATAAGGGCTTCGAAACCCTGTAGTGGCATCGGATCCCGAAATTCTCAAAATGTCCGGTAAGGGACGTTTGTCCGCGGTGACTGGATCCTTGTGGTGAGACTTTTCCTCAGTTCGGGTCGCCTTTGATGAGAAATTTGAGCCTTCGCCTCACTTCCTTCAGTACCAGAATCTAGCTCTAATGCAGCGTCCTCCCACCGGGCCTTTCTGACCGTCCTCCTTACCGGGCAGCCTATTCGTAAAGATGCATTGTGGTGAAGGAGATTGATCCATTTGGACTCACAGCTGTTTGATCTGCGACACCTTTCTTGTTTTCAAAGCTGTTCCTTACACCACTCTCCAGAATGTCATGATACTCGGCGATGACCTTCGTAAGAGAAAACCCGTTCTTTAAAAATAAGAATTTGAGACAAACAGTACCTGACTTGAATTTCCAGGCAAAAATGGCTGATAGTAACGAGGGATCCAAGATGGAACGGTATTTAAAAGTGATTACTGCAGTGAGCGCGTACTGGTGAGTAGTTTCCTTGTTTCTTCTATTCTTTGGCCTCTTGCGAAGGCTATTCAGAACGTTCTGACGCTCTTCTGACAAAAGCTTTCGTCGCTTTTCGTCTTTCCTACCCAACTCTTCAAAATTCTTTCCGAATTTCGGTCGAAATTTAGCCGTGGGTAGTCTGACTAGGATCCCGTTTCCGGGGCAATTTGATCTCCCTGAACACAAGTCGCGGAGTAATATCCCGTTTATGAAGCCAAACTACCTCGGAGCAGACTTTCGACCAAAGCTAGGGAAAAATGCTGTCAAGCTAGTTTTCGAAGAGTGGACTACTAGATAGTTAATAGTATCCAAACTCTCATGAACGATTCCATATTGGCTCTTTTTGCCTCAAACTTGTTCGGTGCTTCGAGTCTTGGGCCCTGCGCTTGCTGGAAACGTTTTCATCCGGGGGGCTTCAGCAGCTTTCTTGCAAAAAAAAAATTGAGAAGTCGATAATTTTTAAGCCTATAGAAAGTTTCAGGGTGAATAGGATGGGTGGGCGGGAAGGGGGGAAGGGAGGGAGTAGGTTGAGTCAGATCAGACCAGGCATAAACAGCAATGGTCATTTGTCAGCTAGGTAGCTGAAAACGAACATTACGACTCAATGCAGTTCCCATTGTCCATTTTGACTGCAAATGATGAAAAACGGTTCAGAATGAGTCTATTTTAAGGGCTGCT